GCCCAGAATGGACTAAATTTGATGACAATAAATGTCATCTTCCTTACCTCTTTGATGGAAGATTTGAAGAAGATAATTTTAGCCATACTCAAACCTTCACATTGGTGATATCTTTAAAATTAACAAAAGCGTTTTCGACTCAGTACCATATTTCTACTTGCAGTTTATTTTAACTTAACAATTTTTTATTCTATACGTTGTCAAGCAACGCAGTAGTAACACTTTAATTAATTTCTTGCTCCTGCTGAGTTTGTTTCGATATTTTTTCTCGGAACTGTGGCTTTTATTCGATTAGTTAATAGAGTTTACTTTTTACTTGCAATAACTATGATAAATAACATCCTATTTAAAGTCTAGACATACATTATTATACCCAAAGATATTTTTTATTATACATTTGTTTTTTACGATTTTGTCAACGCAGTAATGGTCGTTTGTATGATTAAGATTTCTTTTTTTTTTGTCAGGAGGAAATCACCGGACTTCCACCCTCCACTGGGGATGGAGGGCGGGGCATGTCGGAGTTGAACCGACTAAAACCTCCTGTCGCTCAACAACCAGCATCTAAACCTCGCATGAGACAGAACTCATGAAAAGGCAAAGGGGGGAAAGTGAAGCGTTTAGTGCGAAGCACATCTCTCCCATCACCCTCCCCCTCGGAACGCCGGACCGGCGGTCGTCGGCGCCACGACCACCAATCCTCTCGGTCGGCAGGCTATCCGAAGCCCGCCTAGATGGCGCTGGTTAGAATGGTCTACTCTCGGAACACCCCGCTGGGTCAGAACCAGCGTGGGTTGAGGATAGCCGGCTTTCCATCACCCGGATGCTCTTGCATAAAACGCGTGCAGAGCAGCTTGCACGTCGTCTTCTTAGGTCCCCAGGCCGACATGTGAGGGAGACCCGAAACACTTAGAGGGCCAGGGCTTGGGCGAAATCCGCCTCCCTAGCCCCCGCTCGATGGCGGCGGGCCTGCGCGTCTCTCACGCGCTCCGCCGCCTCCTTCTGCGAGATGGTGCACTCGCAGAAGTCGAGCATCACCTTCCACGACTCGTCGTCACCGAGCATCGATGCCACAACACCCGGCAACGACAAGTCGTTTCCTATTTTTGCGACAAGGACACGGCGCCACCCCTCCCATGCGGGGCAGGCGACGAGCGTGTGCTCCGCCGTGTCCAAGTCGCAACCACAATGGTGGCACTCTGCCGTCGGCTCACCACACTGGGGCTGGGACGTGCCACGCCCCGTGCACGAAGGTCAGCTCGCCACTGATAGTCAGCGGCGAGCGCCTTGTATGATTAAGATGACTTTTTTTAGCTTCTTGCCAATTCGTCAAAGCTCTGTATTTGTAATCACTTTGATTATAGTACAATTAAATAAATAAATAAATAAGAAAGACCATTAGAATATTGTATTGAAATTATACTTTGTAAAACTCTTAGATCACATCATAAATAGACATAATCGTTTTATTTTAATTTATTTAATTTAAATTTCGATCAAGAACAAAAGACTCGCAGTCAGAATTAGTAATTAGCGTACCCGCTACATTACGACAGGGTGAAAGAATAATTCACAATTATCCGAAATTTGTGACTTTAATTAACTGTCTAAATGCTAAATCATAATTAATGCTAAAAATTATAATACGAAAGTGAAATTTGTAAGTGATCAAAGTTGTAAAAATCTGATAATAAAATTGGTTCTTCATCAAAGTCTTAATTAGCAGTGTTTTATACATCTGTTCAGGACAGAATGTGGTAGGTTTTCAAGTTACATTTTAGATGAAAAACAAGATAAATTAGATTTATTAACAAAAGTGTTGGATTAAATTTTTCATTAATTTGGCGTGCTGTCTGTACTTTGGAAAAGTGAGTTTTTAGCTCAATTATGCAAGCTACTGACCTATAGATCAATATTGGGATCGTGTTTAAACAATCTTCTTTAAGTGCGCAGTTTATTTTTCTCAAGACTTGAGGTCCCTCTTTAGTCGAAGCTCGACTATAGCTATGTGAAATTATAATTTATGGTTCTATTGTCAAAGTCTTTAACTTCTGTAATAACAGATTTCGCCAATACTACATTATAGAAAGATAATATTAAAGACAAACAATATTAATCTATTCTCAATTTGACCACAGATTTTTACAATAACAAAACTTACAATAAACACAGAGTATATGTGTTGTGTCAAATACACGGTAATGTGTGTAAGGATTTCTTTATTGATTTAATGATTTTTTTATGCATAATAAAAAATATTAACAATCTGCACTCCTTCTCTGCACTCTCTATAAGTGTGAGAAATTTCATACTCCTCCGTTCGCGCAATTTTCGTAAAAAGGGGTACAAAGTTTCTGCTCCATGTATTAATTTTTCTAAAGATAATCTTGGACTTTAGCTCGATAATCTGTAAATAGGCCAGTTTTAAGACGCAATGTAGACAGATTTACGTGAACTTTAAGTTAACAACTCCAGCAAGAGCATGCCTGTTCAAATAGAACGGGAAAATCTCATTTGAACCCGCCACGTCATCAAAGTTCACTCAATCGATACGCACCTTCAAATGGTAATAGCAGTCTTCTTAATTTTCTAGAGCACAAAAAGACTACCCGATGAGAAGTGATTACCATCTTTATTAGTACGACGGCAGTCAAGCTCCAATAAATGGGCCATAGAGCGGTACATTCTCGAACTCTGCGAATTTACAAGCATTATCAAAAGTAAGCACAAATGTAAACAAATTATTATCTTGTATCCTATAAGTTAAGTTAAACTCAATAAGCTTTAATGAAAACAGAAGTTCAGTAAACACAATAGAAAGTTCCGCTGTGCGCGTACCAATGTTGAGTTTGTTGGGAACAAGTGTCGCCGGAATTGTGTAGGCGGCTATGCATGGCTTAACTCGGCCTAAAGCTTCGATCACACTGGTATTATTATGGCATAAAGACGAGGTCGGCGCGCGACCGCATAGTCGCAAGCATACATCAACAATTCATGCAATCTATATATATAAAAATGAATTGCTGTTCGTTAGTCTCGCTAAAACTCGACAACGGCTGGACCGATTTGACTAATTTTGGTCTTGAATTATTTGTGGTAGCCCAGAGAAGGTTTAAAAGGAGAAATATGAAAATGCTCGAAATTAAATAATAATAACAATTTTGTTTTTCCTTTCATGTGTCCCCCGTCGGATGGATTCCTTTTGTTTGTTTTAAGTTTATTTTATACAAAAGTTTAGGTCTTTTACTTATCGATTGTGGCACTACGAAGTCTGCCGGGTCAGCTAGTTTTATTAAAAAAATATCGAATTCTATTTTCATAATCAGTCATTTGTTTATTATATTATATTTTGCTTTATTTATATAATACGGACACGAGAACATATCCGTTGCTGTACCAATTCCGCACATACGGCTCAGAAGGTTAATGACGTATATGGAGAGAGCACTACAAGCACGGCTCATTGTTGGTTTGAACGCGGATATGGAACTATTGATCTACAAAATGAACTCCGTGGTCGCCCGAAAACTAAAGTCAAGGCAACAGTGGAAGCTGATGATACTCAATCTACTGTTGAGTTAGCAGCAGTTATCAAGGTTAACATTAAAAACTTATTTAAATTCTTGGCAAGGGAAAGAAAGGTCTTTGAAGAGTTTCTTAGCTCCCGCACGCCTGAATTCTACAAGAAGAACATTTAAAACTTACCACTGTGTTGGCAGAGCATTGGCTCTGAATCAAGGGAATATATTGATTGACATAAATATATTTTTTTTATTGCTTGTATGGATGGACGAGCTCACAGCCCACCTGATGTTAAGTGGTTACTGGAGCCTATAGACATCTACAACGTAAATGCGCCACCCACCTTGAGATATAAGTTCTAGGTCTCAGTATAGTTACAACGGCTACCCCACCCTTCGAACCGAAACGCATTACTGCTTCACGGCGGAAATAGGCGGGGTGGGGGTATCTACCCGTGCGGACACCCAAGAGGTCCTACCACCAGTGATTACGCAAATTATAATTTTGCGGGTTTGATTTTTATTACACGATGTTATTCCTTCACCGTGGAAGTCAATCGTGAACATTTGTTGAGTACGTATTTCATTAGAAAAATTGGTACCCGCCTGTGCGGGATTCGAACACCGGTGCATCGCTACATACGAACGCACCGGACGTTTTATCCTTTAGGCCACGACGACTTCTTTGTACTAAACGACACTATCGTAGGTAAACTTTAATACACATATATAATCTTTAAGATTCTGCCATTAAGGATACGTTTGTGTTAATTTGTCTTAAGACTCAGAAGTTTTGTAAAATCAAACAAACCGCAAAATTTTAAAACACTATCCATTTATTTACGGCGTAGAAGAAGCACAAGCATGAAAAAGGTGAAGAGTGTGAATACAATAATAATGTAAAAAATGACTAGGAACAAATTACGCACGGTCATCCTTCCCCAAATTAGAATCCTCTATATTATGGATACCTGAGACTGATACACATACTAATATACGTTTAAATATATACACGTATAAGTATTAAACATCCAGACAAAGAGCAAACAAAACTGTTCATCACACCAATGTTTGGCCGATGTGGGAATCGAACCCACGACCCTCGGCGCAAGAGTCGCGTGTGCTAATTACTGCACCACCGAGTCAGTCGAAGATATCCTAATAATAATATTATTATGTTACAAGGCGACAGGAATTACATAAAATGAATTTAAAGAATTAATTTTGTATTAATAAAAGCACAGGCGTCGCATATGAAGTCGAGCAGCTAAATTATCAGTGAGGTCCGATAGAAACTCGACATAGATATATATTTCTGCAGTAAAAACAGCTTTGCTTACTTGGAAGTATTTCCAAATTCGAATCGTTTGTCCGTTTTATTATAGTTAGTTTTATATTAGAATATACAATATTTTGTATTTCTAAATTTTACCTTGGATTTAATAATAACAGTAATATTTAGTAAATTTTTTTTTTATCGCATGCCACATCTCAATTAAGACATATTATTACGTTAATTCCACTCAATAGATGTTATTATTCTTTATTTGTAAGACAGCAATGATGGTTGTGACGGCAAAAGAAACAAAACTCAATATATTCCTGACGTTCAAAGACAGAACCCTCCACAGAGTACATTCTATAGTCTGGGACTGAACGAACTGAAACAGCTTCTCTACTTCGTTGCGGTGTTTCAGATCTGTAAATAAATGAGTAATAATTAAGATCATTCACAGCGTGAAACGAAACGCATATCCTCATTTTTTTTATATATTATCTGTGGCTTTTTCACTCAAACACGATTTTGGCGCCTTTTTTATAAATTTTTAAATATTTTTTATAATTATTATTGCCGAGCTAAAATATACAACATAAGGTTTACGTTACAAAAAGGCAAGATGGTGGTAGCTATCCGTGCGAGTTTACAATACACTCTACCACCAATAAAGCAACTACTTTTTAAGCTAAATAGTCATACACACCAGATACGAATACATAAGTTCTAGACTATAAACCATGACATTTTCGATTTTATTTATTTATTGCTTAGATGGTTAGACGAGTTCACGGCCCACATGATGTTTTTTTTTTTTTTTTAAATGAAAAAAAAGAAACCTGATGTTAAGTGGTTATCGGAGCCCACAGAGATCTACAACGTAAATTCCGCCGTTCTAAGTTCTCAGTATAGTAGAACAGTACAACGGCTGCCCCGCCCTTCAGACCGAAACACATTACTGCTTCAGGGCAAAAATAGGGTGCGGACTCACAAGAAGTCCTACCGCCAGTAAATTTGTCTATTAGTTGTGGGTTAGATAAAGTGTATTCGCGTAAGTTTAAAATAAATTAATAAAAAAACTAACTTTTAGTCTTCATTCGTTTTTCGACGATCAGTATTTTGATCCGCTGTAGATCCACATTGATCAAATCAAACAAAATTGAGGAAACGACGAAGAAAAGGTGCGTATAGAATGTTTCGATCGCGTAGACCGCCAATTTTTCTACAATCGGTCCCTGAAACGTAACATATATGTATAAGATCGAAGACATGCAGGATTCTACGAAGTCGCATAGGATTGCGCATTACTCCCAAGGAAGTATCTTTTATTATGGCGCTGCAATTTTATAGAATATTTTTGCAAGTGTATTGGGTTTTCTGGGTAGATGTTTCGAGTGACGTTCAATATTGGGGTCATTTGGAAAGAAAGGTATAGCTTGTTTCTAAAATTTTGGGAGTGCTTAACGGAGTGAAGTGGTTCATCATAATATCTGTGAATAAGGATATAAAGGAATAATAAAGACAGTCCATAAAGAGTTTTGCTTTACATAGTATCAGTCGGGCCTGATGATTTCTACTTTTCTCATTTATTAATCGGGACCCCTAATTCTTCTTCTTGCTTCGGTTTCCTCAATACTGAGGGTCGTGACCACCTCCTCGCAACAAGAGTTTATTACGGACCGTTCCACGCCATTTGCCTCTATCCAAATACTTTTTTGGACTTCATATAGAAGGGGCTCGTTCGGAATGTCGGTAAACTTTATATGACTCTGGAATCACTAGATCTATGGAGGGAATTCGGTTCGGTTAGTATTTTCTTATGTTCTGCTAGAGAGCTCTGAGGAATTGATTGAGATGATCCAGTTATCTTCATTTTTCCATCGCGCTAACGACCACCGAGCGGCATTAGGGGTCTAAAAATTCATCCAATCCACTTAGAATTGCTACAGTCCTTCACGAAGCATGCCACGCAGTTCTGAAATGAATTCCTTTCCACCTGTTTCATGAGTACTTTGAAATGTGTTCAAACGAGGTTTGAAAAAAAGTGGTAAGCAGCAAGTGATGTTTATGAGCGAAAGGGACCACACCAAAATGAAAGCTAGTCTGTCTTCGAAAGCAGTGAAAAAGATATATTCTTAATCACTAAATATCCCTTAAATAACTCTTACTTTGATCTACGAGAAGTCCAAAAATCCAGTGTCAAAAAATTGTAGTGTGCTTGTATATTAGTCCCAATATTTAAACGCGTACATTAGTGGACCAATTTTGAAAAAAAAAATACATTTTGATTTAATATTAACAACTACCATTGAAGACAAAAAATATCATAAACGTGTTACTGGATATGTGTTATGAACGAAAATTATTAAAATTGTTCTTTACTTACAGATTCTTTTATTTTATTAAGCATGAGAAAGGTCTCCAAAATCAGTTTTGGTGTTGAGCAGAGCAAAAAGACGGTTAACTGGAAAAAAATTACTGAGTAACCACAAGGGTAATCATAGAAGACGCGAGCACGAAATATTATAGCTCATCTAAGTAATAGTCAGAGCTACCGTTGCTCGTGCACATCCACAAGGCCAAGGATACGGAAAAGCCGTTGTTTATCTCTGAAGATTCTTTTCAAATGTCATTCCAATAAGAATATATTGTTGTAGAGGTCAAAGATCACCGTGGAAGAACTGTAAATAATTACAGTGGTTCAATGTGGAAAATAGAAAATGATTTTCATCATTATCATCATGATCAGCCCAGTCATCCACTGCTGAACATAGGTCTCTTCCAGTTTATACCACTGATTTCGGTCTTCCTCACTTTCCTCCGGCTTTCCTCACTTATTTCTCGCCAGTGACCTATTGCAAGTCATCGCACCAGCTAGCCGGGGGCCTTCCACACACATTACGTTTGCCGGTGAGCGGTCACCACTCAAGAAACTATCTGTTCCAGCGATCTTCGGTTCTATGGCATAAATGTCCAGCCCACTGCCACTTCAGCTTTCCGACTGTCTGAACTTTATCGATCACTTCTATATTTAATAGCTTCATTCCTAATTTTATCCTTGACAGAAACTCCAGACATGGTTCTTTCCATGGGTTGCTGAGCTACCTTGAGCTCCTAAACTAGCCGTACTGTGAGTGTTCACGTCTCAGCTCCGAACGTCATAATCGATGGGACGCACTGATTGAAATCTTATTATTTTTGAAAACATGATACTAGCCATAACTTATTCCAGTTCTAGGTAATTTTCTTTCTAGTAACCGAACTTTGTGGCTTAATGAGACTATATTAACCAATACAAGCCCTTGAAGAATATAAACAACAGAAATGAGATCGAAAATCAAGACAATCATTGATGAATCCTTTTATTTCTGATTCAGTCATGTAACCACATAATAATTATCAATATTATTGACTCACCAACTGTTTAGATGGGTGTTCGGTCTTTTTAAAACCGTCAACCAGTGTCTCGTACATTTGGATAAACTTTTTAGTACTGTACTTCCCGGTCTGACCGTGATCGATACCAAAGTCCTCTAAGGTCCTACGAATTATTCTCGCGCGGCAGAACAACAAAGCAAAAACAAATACCGGTGGAATCCTACCCAATACGGTGAAATTCCAAAGTAAATTATGCAATAAGCTAACCCATGACCAGCAATTAAAGGACTTAGACAAACAGAAAGTGACCATATTCACAATTTTTAATACAACGAGGAATGGAATCAAAATTGCAAGATAGATATTGAGTTTCTTATAAATTCTAGAGTGTGGCTCAAAGTCGATTATTCTGCTGCTAGTATAGTAGTCCATAAGGTACATCTTCTTCGAGTACAAAGACATAAACACATAGATGGAATATTCTAAGTACAAAGACCATTTTGCAGTGTGATTTGAGAAGCTACAGTACAAATGATGGAGAATTAAATAGAAAAGCAGAAAGAAGATACAGTAGGCTTTAGCGACGGTCTTTAATCTCCTTGGTATTTCCATTTCGTAGTAATATCCACATAAAAAACGAAGAAATAGAACAAGTTTTATATTGGTGACGTATTTTGGCTTCATGATATCAAAATAGTATGGGCGTATGGACGAAAACAGTGCTTTTATCCAGGACTTAATTATGTATTCATAAAATTTTAATTTGATAAAGTGGAAACTATAATATATTTGGTTCGAAGAAGTAAAATCTTGGATTAAGATTATCCGAATCAGGAAACCTCCCAGCAACTATCGCCGAACACTGTGTCAAAAGTCATATCAGCTGGTTTTGTAGATGAAGAATAGAGATTAAAACGATATAAGAAAAGCTCCTTAAGGGCCTTGGAACAACTGTAAAAATTTAAACTATAAGACAAAAGGTTCCGATGCTTTCCAGGCACATAATTTTTTCCAAGGAACTTTAGACAAGGACTTAACGAAGCAAGCTATTTGCAAATTCAAAAATTATATCATACAGTCAATTGCTGCTTACACGATTCCACTAGCACACAGAGCTATATTTATTGTTACAGCCAACTTATTTAGAATGATCAATAGTTTCCTTTCATAGTAATTATGGTTTAGACGTGTTATTAAAGGTTGTTAGAAATACGTAATGGAATTGTATCTAATACTTTTACCTGACTGTGACAAATAACCTGGAAGAGTTATACATTTATTTCTTGGTGTTTATGAAAACTAGTGAATGTCGTACGTAATTTAAAGCAAGACCATGGTTCCCGCAAAGTCTGAAAATGATTCCTTGTATGATTGAAAGATTACTGGTGGCCCGAAGGCCTTTCCAGTTTCACCAAGATGGGTGGGCGAGCAAAGTCTCAGCCAGGAGGGTTGGGATTTCATAACAGCTGCCTAGCAGCTGCGAGGGAGACCTAGCAGCTCAAGGGCAGTTATTTCACGAATGCATAAGCTACCGGATCAGAATCGCGATAGGCTGATAATATCAGGCTAGAAATTTAGCAGGGTTGATGCATGGGTTATGTCCTAATTCTGTTCCCAGTGTTAGAGCAAAAGGCGTCTTATGCAAAGGTTATTGAATCTGATGGATCAGTCGATGGGTTAAATCATGGATGGTTATCGGATTGAATTAAAGCTGTTGTACAGTTTTAGTTGACGTTTAATAAATTGTTTTTCACATAGCATCAAAGCAACTAAGCTTACACGCGGGGGATTTGAACAATGTTGGTGTTTTTTTTCATTCATGAAAGTGAATAAATAATATTTAAACATTTTCAGGTTCGAATTCAACTTTTTATCGTTTTATTAGGTACTAAGCACACACATTTTAAAACATTTTTCATTCACCAACAGCGCGTAAAATCCACATTTCACAGGATGTCTTCAAGCTAAGGAAATAGGTTACGCTGCTATACAATTACTTGAAAAGTCTTATTTAATTTCAATGTCTTTTCAAAGCTATCTTGTCTTATTCTTTTAAGGGCTGAGCAATTGGCTGGTCTTTTATACCCTTGTAATCCTTTGTGTTATTCCTTTACATTCTATTCTGTATACATATCACACTTCTTCCATCAGTTTTGTAGCAGTGTTCTCTTTTATATATCTCTTGTCTAATGTCCATTATTTTTTTTGTTAGCTGTCATACTCACTAACCATATGATATTTAGTTTGTAATTCTTGCAAACAGAGGTCTGGTCTTCACTTAGGTTCATTTGGTGTACCCTCAATACTTGACGTACACCCAAACTACAGTCCACCAATCGGGAATTTTTCAAGTCTCGTTAGAAGAATAAATAAATAATTGAGGTTAAATACGCTCCAAAGTAAAAACAGCCCGACAGGAATCAGAAACACATGTGTATAACTGATATAAATACCTTTGTATCTACCTTGTAGTCCACAGACGCCCACAGCTGCATATAGGCAAAGCTTTTTTTTTATTGCTTAGATGGGTGGACGAGCTCACCTGGTGTTAAGTGGTTACTGGAGCCCATGGACATCTACGACGTAAATTCGCCACCCACCTTGAGATATAAGTTTTAAGATCTCAGTCTAGTTACAACGGCTGCCCCACCCTTCAAACCGAAACGCATTACTGCTTCACGGCAGAAATAGGCTGGGCGGTGGTACCTACCCGCGCGGACTCACAAAAAGTCCTACCACCAGTAATTACGCAAATTATGATTTTGCGGGTTTGATTTTTATTACACGATGTTATTCCTTCACCGTGGAAGTCAATTGTGAATATTTGTTGAGTACGTAATTCATTAGAAAAATTGGTACCTGCCTGAGATTCGAACACCGGTGCATCGCTCAACACGAACGCACCGGACGTCTTATCCTTTAGGCCACGACGACTTCAAAATACATAACATACTAGCAGTAGGACGCTTTTTAGGTTCACAAGTGTAGTAAGCCCATCTAAAATTAAGCCGTGAATAAATGCGCATCGGTGAAAATGTCTCAATAGTGACACTTCCATAAAGTAAACGTCCGTGTTTTACAATGTGACGGTACAGGCAATAACAAAAAGCCAAGAGTTCCCGCTGCGTGGAAATTAATTTTCCTTTTGTGTCGCCTGTACCGCGTTTACTTGACGATTACTTCGTTGTTCGAACTTGAGAATACAACATGTATCAACAATGTATTTTTAAAATGCTTATGTTGGCTAAATCGATTGACTCAAATGCGATTTCACCCATGCCATTAACAGTGCCAAGCGTTATTAAAATACTAGCAACCACTTAAAATACTTATGAAATCAGTTTACGAACGCCCAACAGTAATTTTTCGCTACACGTTGAGCTTATTTGGGGTCCATCGACATCACTACATAAATTTTGTTTCCCATTATGGATTTTGAGTTCGAAATCTTAATTAAGTGATAGTAAAATTAAATAACCACAACGATTGAAACATGGAAATGGATAGGGACTTTAATGTGTATGTCAGTCCAGGGCCAGTCAAGGACCAAAAAGCTCTGACACCGGTTCCAAGAAGAGCCACATAGTGAAGAACCAAAAGGACCTCAGCGTCGCTAATCACAAATTTTCTTTTTTTTTTAACTTTCTGGTGGTAGAACTTCTTCTGAGTACGCGCGGGTGGGTACCACCACTCTATCTATTTTTGCCGTGACGCAGTAATGCGTTTCGGCTTGAAGGGTGGAACAGCCGTTGTAACTATACTTGATACCTTAGAACTTATATCCCAAGGTTGGTGGCGCATTTACTTTGTGGATGTCTATGGACTCCAGTAACTTCTTAACACCAGGTGGCTGTGAGCTCGTCCACCCATCTAACCAATAAAAAATTTTTTTCGAGCTAATTTGCGATGCCTCATTTAATTAACAATCTAAAAAAAAAAGTGCGTGCGTACAAAGTACACATGTCAGAAGTGAAACTTTTTTGGCGAACTAATTTATGAGTCTTGCTTATATTTATAGAAATCTAAAACTTTAGATTTCCGAGACTTAGAGGAAGGGAAAAAGGAAGATATGTTCCCGCTAAAAGTCTGTCAAATGTCAATCTCAAACCTCAGTGTTGACAGTCACATTATGTTTAGATTTCTAAATTGTAAATGACTAATATTTTGCCAATTGAATTGACTAATTTAATTTCATGCTATTTGATTAATGTTCCAAATTCTTTTCATTTAATTTCAATTCCTCTAATTCCCATTTCACAAAAAAATTATAAAATATTAGGCTGTATGGTATGATACATTTGCCTTTCCAGTTGGAAAAATACAACAACTACTACTATTGACATTTGACAAGAACTTAATTTCAATAGTAGTTTGACGTCACTTCCGTTGCATACCTGCGTGACGTTCTGTAAAATTTTTACCCTCATGCGCCTAAAGAAGTTTCACTTCAACAATTTACCCTACAAATAAATACGGTTGCTGTCTCTGGGGTAGCTAGAATGCCGAGCGCCGTCTTGAATAAATGCTAAAACCGATTCCGGAAACTTACGAATAGTTAAACATCGGAATACTTAGTTTAATTAATTCATGTCCCATGTTCAAGTTAACGAATACTTAATTAAATTGTTCACCAAGAAGCTAATGTCGTCGCTCGGCTTGACGTAGTCTCCGATCCGACCAGATATTTCAATCATACGAAAAGAAACGATTAGGGAACTTCATTCGATCCACACAGTACGATCCAATACAGTAGAGCTTAAGATGAAGGCGACTATTCAAATTTGATAAACCCATTGGGATAGTTAAGTAATTTTGGTAAAGAAATTCTGGATCTGACTATTTTTGCTTCTAATATAGGATAAATCCTGTCTGAATAAGGTATTTTTATAAACTTTTTAGGCTTCCATAGATCAGCTTTAATACACCTACCTGTATTTCATTCTGTACATGATCCACATCTACTCAAATGTCTTAATTTTTTTTTTTTTTGTAAAAATCGCTTACGTGTTAGTAGTTAAATGGACTACTGGGTAGGTAGTTACTAGCACCTATAATGTCGGTTACTACTATTTGAATTAAGAGCTAATTTTCGCAAACTAACACCTAACCTCTAACCTTCTATGAACAACCTTAAAAACTATAAGTTTGTACAAGGTTCTTCAACTTAGTAATTTACACCACGGAAACAGTAACAGGTGGGCTGCGAGATCGTCCACACATCTAAGAAATAAAAAAATAAAAAAAAAAACGGGATCCATTCCGTGGACCGCGATTCCGAACCGGTGGTAGATTTAGCGAAGCCCTGCCCTTGCTAGGGAAAATATTAGCAACTTTTCTCATGCTGAGCCCAAGCAGTTCATCTACAAGTCCGGTGGAACCAGAATAGGCCCCGCAGCCACAGGTAAATAGGTAGGAAAAAAATCTGAAGTGTGTTTATAGTTTTATTTAATCTATAGATTTCGGATATCATACCGAATACTCATAATTAATCTTAACTGGTTTTTTTATGTATTACTCGGTATGAGTATTCTAGTACAACCTTTCAGGGCAGAAGGCGCTATTGATTAAAGGAAAAAAGGTCATGCGCGTTTGCATGTTCATATTTTGTAACCGCTACCAGGCCTCTGGGAATCCTTTTGGATAGTAAAAAGGTGGTGGCTTCCATGTACGGCTTGCTGCAGAGGTCCGGGCTGCATCATCGTATTTTCTGGTTATACACCATACTCATTATGAACGCAGTCTGTTTGAATACAATTTTTTTTTTTTTTTTTGTTGCTTCTACGGGTAGACGATCTCACAGCTCACCTGGTGTTAAGTGGTTACTGGAGACTATAGACATCTACAACATAAACGCGCCACCCACCTTGAGATATAAGTTCTAAGGTCTCAGTATAGTTACAACGGCTACCCCACCCTTCAAACCGAAACGCGTTACTGCTTCACGGCAGAAAAAGGCGGGGTGGTGGTACCTACCCGTGTGGACTCACAAGAGGTCCTATCACCAATAAAAAATACTATAACCGCTGCTCGTAAAAAAAGCATTAAGAGAATCTTTGTA